TTTTTTTTGGTATTTGTATATATTATATCTCTTTATGGGAAAATATTTTACCTGTTGGCAATAACGAATATGAGCTTTGGCATATGCAATTAGCATTTCTTTTAAATCCTTAATTTTTTCTTGTTGGAATCTATCTAAATCTGCCTGTACATCCTTTGAAATACCGTAAAGATCATTACGCGTGATTTCTAAAGCTTCTTCAAGCTAATATAAAATAAAATAAGGAAAGAGAGAAAAATAAGCTTTATTACATATGATTTCATAATTTTTTTTCTTTTTTCACTTAATGATTTTTATTTACTTACAACAGCAATAGCATCTTTTGTTTTTCCAATTTGATTCCGCCTTGTTGCAACAGGGTCTACATCAATTAAACCCTGTAAAGTATGACCAACAGCATTTACCATTTGCATAGGACCAGACCAAGTGTTTCTCGAACGACGTTTAGTAGAGTAATTGGTTGTTGAGGTGACAGAACTTCTTCTTTGTGGTTGTTGTTGTTGAGGATCATTATTATTGTTATTAGTATGGTGAGAAGCATAGGGATTGTTATCAAGGACAGAACTATTTTGTGATTGTTGATGATGATTGATTGCATCCCCATTAGCATCTACTGTTCCATTATTAAGTTCATCAATATCCACGGCATTATGGCCGATTGTATGTTCTCTTGCGAGGGCTTCTTCTAATCGACGAGCTTCCCCTTCCATTTCTGATAATATGTCTAAAGATTCTTGTTTATTTTGTAATGATGATTCAATGGCTTCTACTTGAGCATGTTTCATATGACGAAATTTAAGAACTTGTTTAATAGTTTGAGCAAATTGGGCATATTCTTGTATTGGTTCAGCAAAATCGCCTTCCAACATAGTCACCTATGTCAAATAATAAAGGTAGAATAAGTATATCATCGTCAATATTTTTTATTTTATTATTATCGTTATTTTTATAATTTTTTATTGTTATTATCATTACCATTTCTCCTGTATTTGAATAAGAAGCATCCACTGCTTGGCCAATTTTTTCGATAGCGTTAGCAAGTTCGCCTTCTTCATTTAAACTAAACCCATTGTAAACAGCACCAAGTTCTGCATAATCATTTGCTAGTTCTAGAATAGAATGAAATGAAATGAAAAAAAAAAATATAAGGTGATATAAAGAAATAAACAAATAAATAAAATATTATAACTTTCCGACATATTATTCCTTTTTATTACTATTATTATTTTTATTAATTTTTAATATACCTCCTAAACGACGTATCACTTTGCGTTGACTTTTTTCCAGATTATTATTCATATAATTGGCAATACGATAAGTAAACTGTTCAGATTCTTCAAACTTTGTATCAGGGTTCTTAAGTATATAAGCTGCTGAAGGAGTAGGTATCAAGTGACTAGTAAGAATATTATTATTGGTACCATGTGTAGTTACTGTATTATTATGGACTGTTAATTGTAAAGGATTTTTTGGTAGAACAGATAATGGAGGGGAATGAAGAACATCAGACTAAAAATAAAGTAGTATATTGTTCTAGTTAATCTTCCTTTCTTTCTTTCTTCGTTTTATTATTTTTCAATTTCTTTTCAATTTTTCTTTTTTTACCCAAGGCACTCCATTTTCTAAAAACCGATGAAAAACATGATCCCGACCTAATACTGGATGCTTGGCAACACGATTTAAAAAGGTTTGTAACATTCGTTTTCTTTTTTCTATCATCGGCAAGTCATCTTTAACGCGGGTTTGAAGTGCTGCATAATCAACTAGGGTATTTTAATACATGATAAAATAAATAAAATAGAGAACAACGTCAATAATTATTTTCTTTCTTTCTTTTCAATATTTTCCTTTCTTAATACCTAAAGAATGTTTTTCTGGTATTGGTGGCACAATTACTGTTGGATGAAGTTTAGATAATGATTTACAAAGGGATTCAAATTCGCTATATCGATGTTTTGTTTCTAAATTCTATATAAAAATAAATAATTTACAATGGTGGTTATAAATAAATTGTCTTTATTCTATTTTGTTCTTTGTCTTCTCCCTCTCTTTCTTTCTTTCTTTCTTTTTTTTTTTTTTTTTTTT